CAAAAGATATGAGAACGTACAAGAGCTGATTTGACCAAAAAAAAAATATGTGAACACTAATTAAAAAGATGGACTATTACTATTAATGGCTTCTTGGCTTCAGTAAAAGGTTGAGAAGAGCTAAGACTTTCATTATTGTGCCGTTTTCTCTACCTGCGTGATCTTTATGTTCAGAATTCAATGACTGAAATATACATAAATTATTTTTATTAGTCTACTATTATTGTGTCATTTTCTCTAGGCATATGAATTGACTCCAACTTTGAAATTATGCATGAGCATAGAAAAATAAGACAACCATTATGACATTGTTTAGAATTTTACTCCTCCACTATATTTGTAAGACATTTGGAGAAGGAGTTTTTTAGTCTCTTTTATAAAAATATACATAAATTATTTTATCATCGTCATTGTCGTCATCAAAATAAATGCATATTTCGATTACTAGTAAGAGACTGCAATTGTAGAAAAGAATTGAAGAATGACATGTTGGCTCTCGTCATTTATATCTTGAACAAATTATTTTTAAATATAGATCATTTAACCTCTAACAGAATCTTAGACAATTTTAATTTCTGTGATTGATTGGAAATTTATCAACTTAAGAAATTTTTCATTTATTATTTTATTGCTCATCACTCTGTTGAAATAATTGTTAATTATTATATTATAATATTAAAAATGTTAATTATGGAAACATCTCAATAAATTTGTTTTCTTCATTATTATATTTTATAGCAGTTATAAATTATTACTCCCTCCGTCCCAAATAATATGACATTTTTGAAGGAGTTTCTTCATCCCAAAATATTAGACACTTTGGATAGATTAAAGTTTCATTAAATGCATCAATTTTAATATTACCTTTTTTCTTTCTATAATTAATTTATGTCCCTTCTTTTTTCAATATATTAAATGACGGGTATTTTTGAAAGTTTATATTTTTATTTTGGAAAGATAAGGTTGTTAAGTGTATTTAATGAGATTTATTGGTATATAAAATTTTGTCTAAAAGTGTCTTAAAATTTAAAATGGAGGGAGTATTACATTTATTTCAATACGAGTGATGGCATTTGACTGATTTTCACAATGCGTGTGACTTATTTTTCTCTTAGGCTTCAATAATGACATAGTCCATATTAACATACTCTCAAATATTTTAATTATTATAAATCAAATGGTTATGTAGAGGTCAAAAAATTAAGGTGATCTAGCTAATAAAGAGTTAGTCCATTTTCTATGAGAATATAAATTCAAATACCAGTAGCATTCGTAAGTATCAAAATTCGTACGTAAGCTGTAAAAAATTGGAACTATAATTTGTAAATATTCTCTGTAAACTTGATGAACTCTTATAATCTAATTTACTTAATTTTTTAAATAAGATATTATAGATGCTTCAACAATGATTTTCATTTATTTTTTATTAATTTATATGTGGAATAATATTTTTTTCTTCTAATAAAATACAATCATAAATGAAAATATAATATAATTTACTTAATTTTTTTCAAAAAGATATTATAGATTCTTCAATAATAATTTTAATTTATTTTTTTAATTTATATGTGGAATAATATTTATTTTTTCTAATAAAATACAATCAAAATGAAAATACTTAAAAATATAAGATGGACATAGCGAAGACTCTATTATTAATTATCATGCTGTATTCTCTTCACGTCATGGATATAATAAGTTGACTTTGACTTGGAAATAAAAGAGTATGAATAAAATGATATGAAATTCTTTTTTTCTTTTGATCCCATCAATAATTCATGAGTGTTGTTCGTAGGAAAAAAAAAAAAAAGACAAGGCAATTTTTTCTTTTCCGAAAAAGGGATATACTTCACTGTGTCTTTTCTTTTTGTAGCATAAATATTTGAGCCTACACTTGATTAATAATACAAACATGGTCAAAAGTTAAAAGATGATATGTGACCATCCATGACTTATTTTTCTCTCCGTGAAACCATGACTACATAATGAGAAGACAAGACGACATCATATAAGTTTTTTTTTAAAAAAATCATATAAGGCATTTTTTAAGAGATATCATATTGAAGAATATAAGATATTTTGGTATTTTGTAAAAGTAATTAACAATATTTTTTAAAAAATGTTCCTAATGAATATTTGAATTAATGAGACTTTTATATTTATTAGTTATCAAATTATCCTATTAAATAGAAATAGACATAAAAAGAATATATAATTTTTGATAATATTAATTTTTTTTATAAAATTTGGTTAAAATGTCTTATAAAGTTGAAAGAAAGATATACACCTTTATAGCCTCATTTACAAGTCTGGGAGAATAATATTTTTAGTCATAATAAGGCATGCAATTGATTTCTTAACATATGTTTTTTTCCAATTAAATATTAGTGAGAGAGTATGTTGTTAAAGTATGTATGCCAACAATAAATTTTTTTTTCAATTTTCATTCAATTTCATAAGAAATTCTAGCATCTAAACAAACAATATTTTTCCAGTTTTAAAACCAATCACATATTTTTGATGGCTGGAAAACACATGTTTTTTTTTAAGACTGTTTTTTCTATTTCTTGTATAATTATTTAATATTTAGTATTAATACATCAAATTTTAACATTGTTGGAAATTGGATGTAATAGAATGCAATTCTTTTAAAGACATTTTTTGCAGTCTTGAATCTAATATCCCATGTTTAAAAAACCATAACACTAATAAAATTTTATACTTAATTATTTTAACATTAAATTAGGAAGAATTACAATTAAAATTCTTGTAAAAGATCAATGTAAAATAAAGGTATTCAAACTACGAATGTAGAAATTGAAGTTATAAATTTCCATGAAGTTGCACACAAACTCTTCTTTTACACGTTAATTTTCTTTTGACACGGTCAAGAAAGGAAGTTTCGTTTCACTTCAACCAAGAATTTCATGTCATGTACTGCGTTTGAAAGGTTAAGTAGGCCATATAAGTATAAAGCGCGTTGCTGCATTTACAGGCCTCATTGTTTTCCTATTAGACTGGCACCACATAAATGCATTGTTGAAATTACCTAATTGCCCTGGGCTTTTTTTTACAAAAGAAAAAAATTGGGAGAAATATAGTTTCATTAACAAAGATAAATCATTTTTTTCTTAACTTTGAAAATTACAGAGATGAAAAAAATTATAAGAAGGCCCATTCATTAATCCTTTGTCTCTTAATTATAAGGTGTCAAATAAAAAGATGAAATAATCTTCCAGTTTTACTCCTTAAAGTAATAAAGCATTTGCATAAATAATAAGATGACTCATTATCTTCCTCTAATTAATATGGACTTAATTGAAATGTTGAGTTATCTTTTTTAATAAAAAAAATTAAGTAAAATAAATTCAACAATAACTTTCCTATTTAACTTTAGATAACATTTGCATAAACAATAAGATGACTCATTATATTTTTACATAGGGTTAAAGGGAATTTTTGCCTATAAACTATTTTATTAGGAACATATAGTATCTTAAATTTATGTGGTAGTTGGTAAAAAAATTGTGGTAAATTTTTTCTCTTCAACATTTGAAAATGATGCATTAGGCACCCTATTAATAAAAAAGAAGAAAAAATATTTATTTTGTTGTAAGTAATCGTGAAATTTTCACAACCCTATTACTTTTTTCTCTTTCGTCATTTTCAATCATAGTGATGCCCACTTGAGCACGTCTTCTTTTTTGGGAATCCAATCTTGAGAATTTTTAGGATTTCTATTTTTTATTGTTGGAAGTGTCAATAAAATTTTGAACCATACACAATAAATATTCTTGAAGACTGTCAATTTATGAAAGCTAAATACTTTGTGTCAAACAAACATATTATATTGATTGATTTGCTAAAATTTATGAGATTATTAGAGATGATTGCTCTGGAATATTGTCCCCTCAACCTCAAAGCTACTTGAGCCACATTTATTGCCATATAGGTAGAAATATTGTGGGAGAAACTCCAAAAAATAATCATCTTACAAATGTGAAAATTATATACTTAATTACATGTCTTTAATTTATCGTGCCTCAGCAACGAAGATATTATAAATGCACATTATGATATATTTATCTATGAAACAAACATATCATAACGTGTTATTGTCATATTGTTCAAACAATTTCAATGCATCGCTTGAGACAAATTAAGTGGCACTTAAACATGTTCATTGTCTAAACAAAATTTAATCCATTGCTCCTTGAGTCATTCTTAAGTTAATTTTCTGTTTTTTATGCAAGAATAATTATTTAGCTTTAATTCACAAAACCAGTTTAGAGTACTTTAGACTTGTCAAGAGTACTCTCTCTTCCCCCCTCTCCACTCACAAACAGAGAAGTGCTATTTTGCTCTAGAAAGTTAGCTTTTAAAAGTGAAGTAAATAATACTGTATAATAACGTGGAATGTCTAAAATTTATTATTTATTACTAAGTTCAATATCAATTCCAGGCACCATTATTCTAATTTCAGTTGAATGTGGGTAAACGAGTTGTCCACTTAGAAATGCTTACCTCTCTAATAAGCTATACTTTCTCTTGTGTCTTACATGTAAGAAAATTAGGTAAATTAGTTCTTTTTTTTTTATTTCTTATAGATATTGTCCTATTGGTGGCAATCATATTTTGAGGCACATTTGGGCACTAAATTTAAGAACCTCACTTGTGGGGATTTGAACTTTCGTTTGCCTGTGAGGTACTAGCCATTTCTGCTAGACCTCGCCCTCATTAGTAGGTAAATTAATTACTTATAAAAACTATATGCCTTTGAAGGAATTACATAGGAAGTAGCGGTGAAATGTTCCACGCATTTGAAATAAATAAAGCAAAACTTACCATGCAAATTTCAAGGCTTCATTCTCTCTTTTTATCACTTCCCACTTAAAATACAGAAAAAAATATAATTCAGCACCACCAAAATAATATTAGCGATACATTTTTTATGCTTCAAAGCTCATGTGCAATATGTTTTCTTGATTGTTATGTTGCAGGAAATATTCCAAGAAGTGTTGAAAACTTGACAATGCTAGAAATGTTGGATCTTTCTGATAATAACTTGGAAGGTATGCTTTCAAGAAATAATAAGTGCTGTTGGCCAAAAGAACAAATGATAAGTGCACTTCATTTTTCCTTAGAAAAGATATTTTATGCATAAACAATCATATAATTGTGTTAGTACATTTTGTTTTGTTGCTATATTGCAAGATGCATTCCTTAAAAAAAAAAAAGGTAATGTCACGAGGCGCTGTTTGTTTTTAAATTTTTAAACTTTTATCAAGCAGTTTGAAAAAATTAATATAACGAGATACTAGATTAAAAATCCATAAAATATTGTACTTTCAGTATTTAAATCCTATAAAAAAGATGTGACTTATCCAACATTTATATATATATATATATATATATTTAAATTTTATATGTTTTGAATGGATTTTTATATAATCTGAAAATGTATAAAAGATATTTCTCCACAAGCCTTTATAAACTTTTTTATTTTTAAAATATTTTTATATATTTTATTCAGCTTCCTACACATTTCCTTAATCCTCCAATAGTTTCTTGTATCTTTTGTCAATGTTCAACGCAAAACAAGCACAACTTTTTCTTTTTTCTGAAGAAGAGTTATCTATCTCCGTTCTCTCTCTCTCTGTTGTTCTTTCGTTTTTTCTTTTTTTTGGTGGCCAACATCTATCTCCATTCTCCAACAGACATTTTTTGTTCGTTTTTATTTATGTCAATATAAATACGACGTATCTTTCCAATGTGACATACATAATGTGAAGCAAAATAAAATATTTGTGAAGAACCTGTGTGGATCATCACCATTCAGTCTTAAATATCTTTAAATCTAAGTGAAGCTCAAGAAAATCTATACTGAAAGATTGAAGACTATATATATAGATAACTAAAAACCATTCTTTTAAGTATTGGAATAAATAAGTATAATATTAAAAAATTAGTTTAGTATTCAACTTGTATGTTATAGAGAAAAAATATCTATTTTTTATGATCTTTTCAGTTGTATCAATTTTTTTTTTTTCTAGCTGCATGTAGTTTATGATATTATATTAAGGGCCTGTAACATTGAATTCATATAGAACAAAAAAAAAAACAATGAAAGAAAAGAAAGAGAAAAAGAAATAAATTGCGTGCAATTGGCACAGTAGGAGGGGATCCACTTTTACGTGTCATGGGTTATATTTTTATTTCAAAAATTTGGACAGTAATCAACAAATTATGTGACTAATTTTTTTTTTTTTTGCTTTTCAAAATTTTTGTGAATAATTACAAACATGCATCATATTTTTGCAAGCACATTCCATGAAAAATACCATTAATTTTTTGTAATATTATAGTCGAAACATATTCACTTGAGTGACAATGTTAATATGGAGTACATGTGTATTAAAACATAAAGTCTCTGCCTCACTTGTTTCTCTTAAATTGTAAATGAGAAGTAACAAATTGAACAATATGAAACTTTAATCCCCATAGTTTTGGCAAATGTTTAGAATCAGTTCCTCAAGCAAAAATGAATTATTACTCAATTTATCTAGGTTTTAAAAGATAAAAACTAGAGGTAAACATATATACGAAAGTACACAGCGCCAAGTTTTTATTCAAATTGTTTTGTGAGTTTTGATATATACTGTTAAAAAAATTTCATATTATTTATGGTTCACAATCAAAATAACTTTAAAAACTGCATTCACAAAATTTGGTTTATTATTTATTTTTCGTTTGTTGTAATATTCTTATACATGAGAACTCATAATAATGTGGTTTTTTTATTATCATATTGCAGGAAATATTCCTCAAACAATTGGTTATCTCACAAACCTGAAAATTATATATCTAGGTGCTAACAAGTTGTCTGGTGAAATACCAAGGAATATTGGAAAGTTGACAAAACTTCATGAGCTAGACCTCAGTGCAAACAATATAGAAGGTATACTTTCAACTAATCATAATGTTAAACTTTTCAGCAACTTCATGTTATTTTTTTTAAAGTTCATTCAAGAGCTATACCATATATATATATGGGCACGTCGCTGCAAGTAAGGGTCTACAAGTTGTCCTTTAACAGGTTTATAGAATAAGGATGATCCTAAAACACTTCTTCTAAAATTAAAAATTAGATTTATTAAAGATGAGTTGTCATATATGGACACTTGTAGCTAGCATTATAAGCGATTTTTCTTATATCTATATCACATATTACTACTACATTTTTCTCACTCGTTTTCTAAGTAATATTAACAAAACTGCATTTTCTCAGGATCCCGGAAACTTGATTTTGGTTTAAAAATTTGATCTTGTTTACAATAACTTACAGGCATACTAATAACAAAATTGAAATTTGGTATCATCAATCTTTTATTTCCTTTGCGTTCCTGTTTTGTCTTTTGAAACTCAATAATTATAAAATTAAATGCTAAAAGCTTTCCAGTCAAAACACCATTAATTATTTGTAATATTAGACTTGAACATACTCATTTGAGTGGCCATGTTAATACGGAGTACATTAGTATTAAAATATAAAGCCTCCCCCTCGTTTCTCTGAAATTGTAAATGAGAAGTAACAATTTGAAAAATATAAAACTTTAATCCCTATAGTTTTGCCAAATTTTTAGATCAGTTCCTCAAGCAAAAATGAATTATTGCTCTATTTATCTCGGTTTTAAGATATAAAAAAATAGAGGTTAACATAAATACATCAATACACAGTGCCAAATTTTGTTTGTGTTTGAGGAGGTGTTGGGCAAAGAGAATGAGATTTTGGAATTTAGTTATTGATTTTGTTTTTTAACTTAGTAATGTATAATAGTTAACGACGTCATCTATCATGTAAGAATTTGTTTGCTCCAAGATTTACGTCTTTTCAAAAATAATTTACAAGGTAATTTTTCTTCTATTAATGATCTAGCTATATGTTACTCCTTTTTAGAATGTTTTCTTATTATTACTATGAAAAACAATGTATATATTTTATCTTCCTATTTCCCCCTTTGTTTATAAGTTTTTGTATGTGTGAAATTTTCTTTTCGAACTATACATTCTTTATGCATAGTATTTAGTTATTTTTAATTTTAGGGACGCAAGTTAGGATATCTTGTGGAGCATTTTGTTTGTTGGGAACAAAGAAAACTTCACTTGGAGTTGAAATGATTTTATATTCTTCTTCCTATGAATTGTGAGTTTTCGTTTCAAGGATTTTGTTTCTTAATATGGACAAAATTTTAATTGTACAATTTTATAATTTTTTCATGTCATATTTTGTCATGCTCCCTCTTCATATTTTTTGAATTAATGGTGAGAGAGACGCCCAACAATGTCTGGAACATGGTAGCCTCCAATCGAAGTATACCTGTGGCTAACCCAAAAAAAAAAATCAAGGAATTAATTTTTAAACAAAATAAATATAAATTTTAGGAATAAATTAGAGGAACTCAAAACAAAATAAGATTGCACAAAGTAAAAACTTAAAGTAGTGCCAATGGCCTTGTAGCCTAGCGGCAAGTCAGTTTTTCTGTAAGTCAGAGTTGGCAGATTCAATCTAGCTTGTGACCTCAAGCTATTTGTGTCTACCCTTTTTAGTTAAAAAAACTTAAAGTGGTATTTTACCAATAATATATGAAAAGGAGAAGCCATGAACATGAAGGAATGGGTAGGGGAGGTATATCAACACCCCCCCGGCAAAGGGCAAAGAGAAAAAAGCTAATGATGGGCTGTCCTTTTCTTACAAATGCAATTACAAATTTGCCACCAAATTTTGTTTTCTAATCTCATGAATAACATTGATATTTTGGTCAAAATACAATTAATTAATATATTAGAGTTGAAGCATACTTACTGAGTGACAATATTAATATCAACATCAATATTAAAATACAGCCTCTATCTCACTTGTTCTATTTATGGTAAACGAGTATTTAAAAATAGAAAATATAGAACTCGATTTTGCCAATTTAAATTTTAATACAGCAATAAACGCTATCATTATATATCAGTGTAGTGCATAAAACTTTGTTTCTATATAATCATTTCGTTTGGGATTAATTCTTCAGTTCGTGTTCATTCTATATAACTTTATTGAAGAGGTTCAGCAAAAAAGTGCAGTGTTACAACTGCATTTTTTCCCCCTTTTCTCATGCTTTATTGGATATCATCGCAAACAAATTTTGATAACTCTACTAGTCATTACATTACGATCCCATGACTTTAGTTATTGTTAATTTTAATGACACTGGTGGTTGTGATGTCTTCTCTTTTGGAGCATCTAAGTTCGTTTTTCTTCAAATTATCATGTCCTAATGAGCAACTTTTAATTTTGATTTTTCACATTTACCTTTTCTATTATCAGTTTTTGTATTCATGAAATTTCTTGTTTCCATAATTAATTATGCATAAAAATAAGTCTTTCATCATTTTCAATCATAGAAATGCCAGCTGGGACATGTCTTCTCATTTGGGAATCCAATTTTGGGAACTTTTAGGATTTCGATTTTTTGTTGTTGTAAGTGTCAATAAAATTTTGAACCATACACAATAAATATTCTTGAAGACTGTCAATTTATCAGAGCTAAATACTCTGTGTCAAACAAATATGTTATATTGATTGATTTGCTTAAAGTTATGATATTATTATAGATGATTGCTCCAGAAATTTTTTCCCCTCAACCTCAAATTTACGTGAGCCAAATTTGTTGGCGCATAGGTAGAAATATTGTAGGAGAAACTCTAAAAAATAATCATCTTATAAATGTGAAAATTATATACTTAATTACATGTCTTAATTTATCTTGCCTCAGCATAAAAGATATTATAAATGCATATTATGATATATTTGTCTTATCAAACAAATATATCATAACAAGTTATTGTAATATTGTTCAAAGAATTTCAATGCATCGCTTGAGAGAACTTCTCTGCGCAACAAGTTTATAATAGTCCTTCCAGACTTATTGGTAACAATATTTTATGGAAAAATTAAGTGACAATTAAACATGTTCACTTTAAAAAGAAAATTTAATCCCTTGCTCCTTGAATCGTTCTTAAGTTTTTTTTGTGGGCCCCGAATCACCTTTTTAAAACTAACTTTCTAGAGGAAAATTTCACTTTTTAAATTTCTTTTATGCTTCGAATCTCATTTGCAATGTTTTTTTTTTTTTTACTGTTATGTTGCAGGAAATATTCCAAGGAGCTTCGAAAACTTGACAATGCTAGAAGAGTTGGACTTTTTCCAAAATAACATGGAAGGTATGCTTTCAACAAATAACAAGTGCTCTTGGCCGAAAGAACAAATAATAAGTGCTCTTCATTTTCCGTTTGATAAAATATTTTATGCATAAGCAAGCCTATATTTTTTTTTTGTTAGTACATTTTTTTTTGTTGCTATATTGCAAGATGCATTATATTCTTAAAAAAAAAAAAAGAGAGAAACCGGCAATATAACAAGGAACTGTTTGTTTTGAAATTTCTTAATCTTATTAAGCTTTTCGGCTATATCAAAAAGCTTAGAAAATATCATAGTTTAAATGCAGTTTAACACCATAATTGATTTTAACCCCCCACTGCACCATTTTTCTCTTTTCGCGCGCAATATTAAAAATATCATAGTGCAAATGCAGTTTGAAAATATTAATATAACAAGATACTAGCTTACAAATCTATAAAATATTCTACTTTCGTTATTTAAATCCCACAAAATAGGTGTGACTCATCCAAGTTTTGTATAACTTTAATATATTTTTAAACTCTTATATATTTTACTTGGAGTTTTATATAATTCAAAAATATTATTCCGCAAGCCTTTATACACTCTTTTATTCTTCAATATTACTCTATCTATTTCACTGAGCTTCCTAGAAATTTTTTAAGTCCTTCAATAATTTCTTGAATCTTTTAGTAATGTTCGATACAAAACAACCACAACTTTTTCATTTTTTGGAAAACAGTTATCTATCTGCATTCTCAAACAAACATTTTCCGTTGGTTTTTATGCATTGTCAATATAACTACGACTTATCTTTCCAATATGATATACATCATGTGAAGTAAAGTAAAATATTTGTGAAGAACCTGTGTGGACCATCACTGTTCAGTCTTAAATATTTTTGCATCTATGTGCTCAATAAAATATATATTGAAAGATTAAAGACTATATACATAACCCAAAAAGCCATTTTTTTTCTTATTGTTCGATCATTAAGTGTTGAAATAAATAAGTATAATATTAAAAAAATTAGTTTAGCTTTCAACTTGTATGTTATAGAGGAAAAGTATCTATTTTCTATGATCCGTTTTGTTTTATTATTTTTTTCTTGGTGCATGTAGTTTGTGGCATCGTATTAAGAGTGTGTAACATTGAATGCGTATAGAACCAAATAAGAAAAAAAGAAAAAAGGAAAAATTGCTTGCAAATTGCTCTGCAGAGGGGATCCACTTCCATGTGTCATGGGTTATATTTTTATTTCGAAAATTTTAACAATAATCAACAAATTATAAGTATATTACTAATTTTTTTTCTTTTCACATTTTTGAGAATAATTACAAACATCATATTTTTGTAAGAACATTCTATGAAATATTTAATAAGAAGTGGAGGATTTTTTAAATTAAATAAAAAATTATCAACTTGAAAGATGATGTCTAGCTGAGCAATGGCCTTTATAACTATATTTAAAACTACATTTTCATTAACTATATATTCAAAACCGTATGTCTTTAATTGTTAATTCTTTTGTCATATACCAAGAGGCATTGGAAACTTAATTATGCGCTTATGTTGATACGAATAAATTCCAATTTCTTCAAATTATGATGTGCAAACTATTATTTCTGCACATGCATTGCTTTTCGTATGCTTTTCTATGCAATACTAGTATGAGCAACATTGCATTTAAAACCAACAGAAGATGAAGGCCTGTCATTACAATTTTTTTAAAACTATATTTTTTTGGTGAACTTGAAAAAATAAAAAAATATTTTTATTTTAAAAACTATATTTTAACCGCACTTTATATATGTTTTGGGATTGAAAAGCAAATATAAAAAAACCCTGACATGTTAATCTATGAAGCAAACCTAAAATTCAGTTGGATCATATTCTTGACCCAACATTAAGGTGAGTATCATTTATTTGTCTGATTAATACATATTTATATTTTCTTTTTCTTAATTTTAGTATTAACTTAAACTAACTTTACCTAAACCTAAAACAATACTTTTGCTTTCAGGTACAATACCTGCAGAAATAGGCAACCTTTATAGGCTTGAGCGGCTTGCGTTGGGCAATAACAAATTGAGGGGATCTATTCCGTTGGAAATTCTTAAAATATCAACTTTGCGAGTGTTGGCACTTCAAAATAATTCTTTATCAGGTAACCTTATATTAGATTTTGGATGTGGCCTTTCTAACCTAGAAAAGCTATATTTATGGAGAAACAAACTTCCCATCATATCTATGTTTTTCTTTTAAAAAAAACATATATATTATGTTGACATCCAATGAAATTTTTTAGTGATTTGTACTTTTCTTTAATTCCAATCGTCAATGTAATTTTGATTTTAACTAACACTGAAAATTTAATCATACTTCCAACACCTCATAATGCCTTACTTTCACATTTTTCATAAACAACTACACTGTTTTCTTAGATTTTGTGCCTTTTATCTGGAGTTTATGAACCATAACACAATAAATTTCTTAGAAAGCTCCACTAGGAGTTGAAAGTATTTGATATTCTTCTTCCTATGAAATGTGAGTTTTTGTTTTTTAATATGGACAAATTTTAATTAAACAATTTTATTATTTTTCCACGGTCCCTCTTAATATATATATATATATATTTAAATTAATGGTGGGAGAGGTGCCCAACAGTGCCTCAAATATGATAGCCTCCAATAGAAGCATCCATGTGAGTAGCCAAAAAAAAAAAAAAGAAATTAATTTTTAAATAAAATAAGTGAAAGAAATATAAATTTTTAGGAATGAGTTAGAGGAACTAAAAACAAAATAAGATTTTGCAAAGTAAAATCTTAAAGTGGTGCCAATGGCCTTATAGTCTAGGGGCAAGTCAGCTTTCCTATAAGTCGAATGTGGTAGATTCAATCTAGCTTGCAAGCTGAGGCTATTAGTTTCTAGCCTTTTAAGTTAAAAACTTATAATGTGGCATTTTACCAATAATGTATGAAAAAGAGAAGCCATGAATATGAAGGAATGGGCATGCGAGGCATACCAACACACACACCCCACAAAGGGTAGAGAGGAAAGCGAATGCAGAGCTGTCCTTTTCTGACAAAGACAATTATAAATTTGCCACCAAATTTTGTTTACTAATCTCACGAATAACATTGACTTTCCGGTAAAAATGCAATTACTTAATATATTAGAGTTGACATGTACTTATTGAGTGACAATATTAATATCAACATCACTAATAAAATATAAAGACTTTATCTCACTTGTTCCATTTAAATGGTAAACAAGTATTTAAGAAATAGAAAATATAGAACTCCATTTTACCAATTTAAATTTTGATACATCAATAAACACTATCATTATATATCAGTGTAGTGCAAAAAACTTTGTTTCTATATAATCATTTTATATGAGATTAATTCTTTAGTTCATGTTCATTCTATATAAATGTATTGAAGAGGTTCAGAAAAAAAGTGCGGAGTGGTGCAACCACACATTTTTCCCCTTTTCACATGGTTTATTGGATATCATCGCAAACAATTTTGATAACCCTACTGGTTATTACATTGCAAATTCATGACTTTAGTTATTGTTAATTTTAATGACACTGGTGGTTGTGATGTCTTCTCTTTTGGAGCATCTAAGTTCATTTTTCTTCAAATTGTGATGTGCTAACGAGCAACTTTTAATTTTCATTTTCACTTTCACCTTTTTATTATAAGTTTTTGTATTCATGAAAATTCTTGTTCCAATATTTATTTATGTATCAAAATAAGTCTTTCGTCATTTTCAATCATAGTGATGCCCACTTGAGCACGTCTTCTTTTTTGGGAATCCAATCTTGAGAATTTTTAGGATTTCTATTTTTTATTGTTGTAAGTGTCAATAAAATTTTGAACCATACACAATAAATATTCTTGAAGACTGTCAATTTATGAAAGCTAAATACTTTGTGTCAAACAAATATATTATATTGATTGGTTTGCTAAAATTTATGATATTATTATACATGATTGCTCTGGAATATTGTCCCCTCAACCTCAAAGCTACTTGAGCCACATTTATTGCCATATAGGTAGAAATATTGCGGGAGAAACTCTAAAACATAATCATCTTACAAATGTGAAAATTATATACTTAATTACAAGTCTTTAATTTATCGTGCCTCAGCAGCAAAGATATTATAAATGCATATTATGATATATTTATCTCATGAAACAAACATATCACAACGCGTTATTGTCATATTGTTCAAACAATTTCAATGCGTCGCTTGAGACAAATTAAGTGGCACTTAAACATGTTCATAGTCTAAAGAAAATTTAATCTGTTGCTCCTTGAGTCATTCTTAAGTTAATTTTCTCTTTTTACGCAAGAATAATTATCTAGCTTTTGTTCACAAAACCTGTTTAGAGTACTTTAGACTTGTCAAGAGTACTCTCTCTTCCCCCCTCTCCACTCACAAACAGAGAAGTGTTATTTTCCTCTAGAAAGTTAGCTTTTAAAAGTGAAGTAAATAATACTGTATAATAACGTGGAATGTCTAAAATTTATTATTTATTACTAAGTTCAATATCATTTCCAGGCACCATTATTCTAATTTCAGTTGAATGTGGGTAAACGAGTTGTCCACTTAGAAATGCTTACCACTCTAATAAGCTATACCTTCTCTTGTGTCTTACATGTAAGAAAATTAGGTAAATTAGTTCTTTTTTTTTTTCCTTATAGATATTGTCCTATTGGTGGCAATCATATTTTGAGGCACATTTGGGCAGTAAATGTAAGAATCTCACTAGTGGGGATTTGAACTTTAGTTTGCTGCACTGTGAGGTACTAGCCATTTCTGCTAGACCTAGGAATTACGTAGGAAGTAGCGGTGAAATGTTCCACGCATTTGAAAAAAATAAAGCAAAACTTACCACGCAAATTTCAAGGCTTCATTCTCTCTTTTTTATCACTTCCCACTTGAAATACGGAAAAAAATATAATAATTCAACACCACCAAAATAATATTAGAGAAGCCTGATACATTTTTTATGCTTCAAAGCTCATGTGCAATATGTTTTCTTGATTGTTATGTTGCAGGAAATATTCCAAGAAATGTTGAAAACTTGACAATGCTAGAAATGTTGGATCATTATGATAATAACTTGGAAGGTATGCTTTCAACAAATAATAAGTGTTGTTGGCCAAAAGAACAAACAATAAGTGCACTTCATTTTTCCTTATATGAGATATTTTATGCATAAACAATCATATAATTGTGTTAGTACTTTTTTGTTTTGTTGCTATATTGCAAGATGAATTCCTAAATAAAAATAGGTAATGTCACAAGACGCTGTTTCTTTTTAAATTTTTAAACTTTTATCAAGCAGTTTGAAAAAATTAATGTAACGAGATACAAGATTACAAGTCCATAAAATATTGTACTTTCAGTATTTAAATCCTATAAAAAAGATGTGACTTATCCAATATTTATATATATATATATATATAATTTTATATGTTTTGAATGGATTTTATATAATCTGAAAATGTATAGAAGATATTTCTCCACAAGCCTTTATACACTTTTTTATTTTTAATATATTTTTATATATTTCATTCAGCTTCCTACACATTTTTTTAATCCTTCAACAGTTTATTGTATCTTTTGTCAATGTTCGACGGAAAACAAGCACAACTTTTTCTTTTTTTTGGAAGAAGAGTTACATATCTCCGTTTTCTCTCTCTCTGTTGTTCTTTCATTTATTTTATTTTTTTGGCCAACATCTATCTCCATTCTCCAACAGACATTTTTTGTTTGTTTTTATTTATTGTCAATCTAAATACGACGTATCTTTCCATTGTGACACACATAATGTGAAGCAAAATAAAATATTTGTGAAGAACCTGTGTGGACCATCACCATTCAATCTTAAATATTTTTAAATCTAAGTGAAGCTCAAGAAAATATATACTGAAAGATTGAAGACTATATATATAACTAAAAGCCATTCTTTTAAGTATTGGAATAAATAAGTATAATATTAAAAAAATAGTTTAGTATTCAACTTGTATGTTATAGAGAAAAAAAATCTATTTTTTATGAACTTTTCAGTTTTATCAATTTTCTTTTTTCTAGCTGCCTGTAGTTTATGATATTATATTAAGGGCCTGTAACATTGAATACATATAGAACAAAAAAAAACAATGAAAGAAAAGAAAGAGAATAAGAAATAAATTGCGTGCAATTGGCACAGTAGGAGGGGATCCACTTTTACGTGTCATGGGTTATATTTTATTTCAAAAATTTGGACAGTAATCAACAAATTATGTGACTATTTTTTTTTTCTTTTTTTCTTTTCAAAATTTTTGTGAATAATTACAAACATGAATCATATTTTTGCAAGCACATTCCATGAAAAATACCATTAATTTTTTGTAATATTATAGTCGAAACATATTCACTTGAGTGACAATGTTAATATGGAGTACATTGTATTAAAACATAAAGTCTCCGCCTCACTTGTTTCTCTTAAATTGTAAATGAGTAGTAACAAATTGAAAAATATGAAACTTTAATCCCCATAGTTTTGCCAAATGTTTAGAATAAGTTCCTCAAGCAAAAATGAATTATTACTCAATTTATCTAGGTTTTAAAAGATAAAAACTAGAGGTAAACATATATACGACAGTACACAGCGCCAAGTTTTTATTCAAATTGTTTTGTGAGTTTTGATATATACTGTTAAAAAAATTTAATATTATTTACGGTTCACAATCAAAATAACTTTAAAAACTGCATTCACAAAATTTGGTTTATTATTTATTTTTCGTTTGTGTGTAATCTTCTTATACATGAGAACTCATAATAATGTGGTTTTTTTATTATCATATTGCAGGAAATATTCCTCAAACAATTGGTTATCTCACAAACCTGAAAATTATATATCTAGGTGCTAACAAGTTGTCTGGTAAAATACCAAGGAATATTGGAAAGTTGACAAAACTTCAAGAGCTAGACCTCAGTGCAAACAATATAGAAGGTATACTTTCAACTAATCATAATGTTAAACTTTTCAGCAAGTTCATGTTATTTTTTAAAGTTCATTCAAGAGCTATACCATATATATATATATATATGGGCACTTCGCTGCAAGTAAGGGTCTACACGTTGTCCTTTAACAAGTTTATAGAATAAGGATGATCCTAAAACATTTCTTCTAAAATTAAAAATTAGATTTATTAGAGATGAGTTGTCATATATGGACACTTGTAGCTAGCATTATAAGCGATTTTTCTTATATCTATATCACATATTACTACTACATTTTTCTCACTCGTTTTCTAAGTAATATTAACAAAACTGCATTTTCTCAGGATCCCGGAAACTTGATTTTGGTTTAAAAATTTGATCTTGTTTACAATAACTTACAGGCATACTATTAACAAAATTGAAATTTGGTATCATCAATCTTTTATTTCCTTTATGTTCCTTTTTTGTCTTTTGAAACTCAATAATTGTAAAATTAAATGCTAATAGCTTTCCAGTCAAAACACCATTAATTATTTGTAATATTAGACTTGAACATATTCATTTGAGCGGCCATGTTAATATGGAGTACATTAGTATTAAAATATAAAGTCTCCCCCTCACTTGTTTCTCTGAAATTGTAAATGAGAAGTAACAAATTGAAAAATATAAAACTTCAATCCCTATAGTTTTGCCAAATTTTAGATCAGTTCTTCAAGCAAAAATGAATTATTAGTCTATTTATCTCGGTTTTAAGATATAAAAAAATGGAGGTTAACATAAATACAGCAATACACAGTGCCAAATTTTGTTTGTGTTTGAGGAGGTGTTGGGCAAAGGGAATGAGATTTTGGAATTTAGTTATTGATTTTGTTTTTTACTTAGTAATGTATAATAGTTAACGACGTCATCTATCATGTAAGAATTTGTTTGCAACATTATCCATTTTCTGGTCTTTGATCGGTTCTCTAACTGTTTGGTTTTGAAGGTTGTAGCGGTCTGATTCAGAAGCCAGTTTCCATATTAATTGCTCTAACTATTGTGAATCTTGTACTTTCTTATCGTTAATTTTCTCTCAGGTCATATACCAGAAGGCATTGGACAATTGGCTATGCTCCAAGATTTACGTCTTTTTAAAAATAATTTACAAGGTAATTTTTCTTCTATTAACGATCTAGCTATATGTTACTCCTTTTTAGAATGTTTTCTTATTATTACTATGAAAAGCAATGTATATATTTTATCTTCCTATTTCCCCCTTTGTTTATAAATTTTTGTATGTGTGAAATTTTCTTTTCCAACTATATATTCTTTATGCATAGTATTTAGTTGTTTTTAATTTTAGGGACGCAAGTTAGGATATCTTGTGGAGCATTTTGTTTGTTGGGAACAAAGAAAACTCCACTTGGAGTTGAAATTATTTTATATTCTTCTTCCTATGAATTGTGAGTTTTCGTTTCAAGGATTTTGTTTCTTAATATGGACAAATTTTTAATTACACAATTTTATAATTTTTTCATGTCATATTTTGTCATGGTCCCTCTTAATTTTTTTTTTTAATTAATGGTGAGAGAGACGCCCAACAATGTCTGGAACATGGTAGCCTCCAATCGAAGTATACCTGTGGGTAACCCAAAAACAAAAATAAAGGAATTAATTTTTACATAAAATAAATATAAATTTTAGGAATAAATTAGAGGAACTAAAATCAAAATAAGATTGCACAAAGTAAAAACTTAAAGTAGTGCCAATGGCCTTGTAGCCTAGCGGCAAGTCAGTTTTTCTGTAAGTCAGAAGTGGCAGATTCAATGTAGCTTGTGACTTCAAGCTATTAGTGTCTACCCTTTTAAGTTAAAAAAACTTAAAGTGGTATTTTACCAATAATATATGAAAAGGAGAAGCCATGAACATGAAGGAATGGGTAGGGGAGGCATGCCAACACCCCCCCCCCCCCGGCAAAGGGCAAAGAGAAAAAGGCTAATGAAGGGCTGTCCTTTTCTGACAAATGCAATTATAAATTTGCCACCAAATTTTGTTTTCTAATCTCATGAATAACATTGACTTTTTGGTCAAAATACAATTAATTAATATATTAGAGTTGAAGTGTACTTATTGAGTGACAATATTAATATCAACATCAATATTAAAATATAATGCCTTTATCTCACTTGTTCTATTTATGGTAAACGAGTATTTAAAAATAGAAAACATAGAACTCGATTTTGCCAATTTAAATTTTAATACAGCAATAAACGCTGTCATTATACATCAATGTAGTGCATAAAACTTTGTTTCTATATAATCATTTCGTTTGAGATTAATTCTTCAGTTCATGTTCATTCTATATAACTTTATTGAAGAGGTTCAACAAAAAAGTGCAGTGTGTTACAACTACATTTTCCCCCTCTTTTCTCATGCTTTATTGGATATCATCGCAAACAAATTTTGATAACTCTACTAGTCATTACATTACGATCTCATGACTTTAGTTGTTGTTAATTTTAATGACACTGGTGGTTGTGATGTCTTCTCTTTTGGAGCATCTAAGTTCATTGTTCTTCAAATTATGATGTCCTAATGAGCAACTTTTAATTTTGATTCTTCACATTCACCTTTTCTATTATCAGTTTTTGTATTCATGAAATTTCTTGTTTCCATAATTATTTATGCATAAATAAAAGTCTTTCATCATTTTCAATCACAGAAATGCCAGCTCGGGCACGTCTTCTCGTTTGGGAATCCAATTTTGGGAACTTTTAGGATTTCGATTTTTTGTTGTTGTAAGTGTCAATAAAATTTTGAACCATACACAATAAATATTCTTGAAGACTGTCAATTTATCAGAGCTAAATACTTTCTGTCAAACAAATATATTATATTGATTGATTTGCTTAAAGTTATGATATTATTATAGATGATTGCTCCAGAAATTTTTGTCCCCTCAACCTCAAATTTACGTGAGCCAAATTTGTTGCCGCATAGGTAGAAATATTGTAGGAGAAACTCTAAAAAATAATCATCTTATAAATGTGAAAATTATATACTTAATTACATGTCTTTGATTTATCTTGCCTCAGAATGAAAGATATTATAAATGCATATTATGATACATTTGTCTTTCAAACATATATATCATAACAAGTTATTGTAATATTGTTCAAAGAATTTCAATCCATCGCTTGAGACAAATTAAGTGGTACTTAAACATGTTCATTTTAAAAAGAAAATTTAATCCCTTGCTCCTTGAGTCATTCTTAAGTTTTTTTTTTTTTTGGGGCTATGGATCACCTTTTCTAGATGTGTCACCTGTTATTATTAATGAAAGTGGATTCAACAATAAGACCATATTAAAGGCTTATAAAATAAATTTATATATTGGCGAACAAAAGATAATACAAATGCGTGTTAGTATTCTGTTTTTATGCAAGAATAATTATTTAGCTTTAGTTCACAAAACGAGTTTAGAGTACTTTAGACTTGTCAAGAGTACTCTCTCTTCCCCCCTCTCCACTCACAAAGAGAGAAGTAATATTTTCCTCTAAAAGGTTAGTTTTAAAAAGTGAAATAAATAATACTGTATAATAACGTGGAATGTCTAAAATTTATTATTTATTATTAAGTTCTATATCATTTCCAGACACCATTATTCTAATTTCAGTTGAATGTGGGTAAACGAGTTGTCCACTTAGAAATGCTTACCTCTCTAATAAGCTATACTTTCTCTTGTGTCTTACATGTAAGAAAATTAGGTAAATTAGATCTTTTTTTTTTAATTTCTTATAGATATTGTCCTATTGGAGGCAATCATATTTTGAGGCACATTTGGGAAGTAAATGTAAGAACCTCACTAGTGGGGGTTTGAACTTTCGTTTGCTGCACTGTGAGGTACTAGCCATTTTTGCTAGACCTCGCCCTCATTAGTAGGTAAATTAATTACTTATAAAAACTATATGCCTTTGAAGGAATTACATATAGAAGTAGCGGTGAACTGTTCCACGCATTTGAAAAAATAAAGCAAAAGTTACCACGCAAATTTCAAGGCTTCGTTCTCTCTTTTTATCACTTCCCACTTGAAATACGGCAAAATATATATATATATATAATAATTCAACACCACCAAAATAATATTAGAGAATCCTGATACATTTTTTATGCTTCAAAGCTCATGTGCAATATGTTTTACTAATTGTTATGTTGCACGAAATATTCCAAGAAGTGTTGAAAACATGACAATGCTAGAAACGTTGGATCTTTCTCACAATAACTTGGAAGGTATGCTTTCAACATATAACAAGTGCTGTTGGCTAAAAGAACAAATAATAAGTGCTCTTCATATTTCCTTTCATAAGATATTTTATGCATAAACAATCATATAATTGTGTTAGTACATTTTGCTTTGTTGCTATATTGCAAGATGAATTCCTTACATTAAAAAAAAAAAAAAGGTAATGTCACAAGGCGCTGTTTGTTTTTAAATTTTTAAACTTTTATCAAGCAGTTTGAAAAAATTAATATAACGGGATAGTAGATTACAAATCCATAAAATATTGTACTTTCAGTATTTAAATCCTATTAAAAGATGTGACTTATCCAAGTTCTATATATTTTTATATATATATTTTTTAATTTTTATATGTTTTAAATGGATTTTTATAATGTATAGAAGATATTTCTCCATAAGCCTTTATACACTTTTTATTTTTAATATTTTTTTATATAATTTATTCAGCTTCCTAGACATTTTTTTTAATCCTTCAATAGTGTCTTGTATCTTTTGTTAATGTTCGACGCAAAACAGTTGATGCATTATATAGCAAGATGCATTATATTCCTTAAAAAAAAAAAAAACAGGCGATTTCACAAGGAACTGTTTGTTTTGAAATTTCTTAATCTTATTAAGCTTTTTGGCTATATCAAAAGGCTTAGAAAATATCATAGTTTAAATGCAGTTTAACACCATAGTTCATTTTAACCCCCCACTGCACCATTTTTCTCTTTTCGTAAACAATATTAAAAATATTATAGTGCAAATGCAATTTGAAAAAATTAATATAACTAGATACTAGATTACAAATCTATAAAATATTCTACTTTCGTTATTTAAATACGTTAAAACAGGTGTGACTCATCCAAGTTTTGTATAATTTTTATATATTTTTTAAACTCTTATATATTTTACTTGGAGTTTTATATAATTCAAAAATATTATTCCGCAAGCCTTTATGCACTCCTTTATTTTTCAATATTATTCTATCTATTTCACTGAGCTTCCTAGACATTTTTTAAGTCCTTCAATATTTTCTTGTATCTTTTAGTAATGTTCAACACAAAACAACCACAGCTTTTTCATTTTTTGAAAAATAGCCATCTATCTGCATTCTCCAACAAACATTTTTGGTTGGTTTTTATGTATTGTCAATATAACTACGACTTATGTTTCTAATATGGTATACATGATGTGAAGTAAAATAAAATATCTGTGAAGAACCTGTGTGGACCATCACCGTTCAGTCTTGAATATTTTTGCATCATGTGTGGAATTAGCTCTTGATTCCAATAATTTACAAGGTATAACTTTATGCAAATTATAATTCACTGTAGATTATTTCCTTTTTCTTACTTATTATCTCTTGCAACTTGAAATTATGAACCTAGTCGCTAATTGGTTTCGTCAAATTGCTATTAATTATATATCGCAAAATGTATAGGTCTAAAATAAACTTTTCTTTTCTCACAAAACAATAATTGGATTATATTTTTACGCATAATGTTTAATATTTTATAATGTCATTGAGAACTCAACTTGTTACAAAGATTTCAAATATAGAAGAGGATAATTTCAGTTAGGTCTCTTGTAAGTAAACTTACATTAAATTTCAAAGGACTTTTTTGTCCAACTGCTGATATATTCCTAAGAAAAATAAACCATTACAGTACAACTGAAACCGCAAACAACAACAGAGTAACAAAACAAGGAGAACAACAGAGCAAGAACAGAATTAGCAACAACATAAGAGAGATCAGCTAAATAATTTTAACTACTAGATGAGACAAAAGAAGTGATGGTGACGACAACTATCCTATTAGAACCAGCAATGACACGCTTGATTCTTAATTTCAAAGGATTTTAATTAACTTAAAAAACAAGCATATTTACTAAATCCAATTTTAATAAGGAAGGGTGTTTTATTAAAAATGAGTATTTTTGTAAGTTTTAATTTTTAATTTTATAAAAATTTCTTGGGATTTAAATGCAAATTTTCTAATTTAAATTTAATTTAAAAATTAAGTACAAATAATTTTAACTAAATATTGGCCCGTGTCTCTTGTTTAACTTTCCCACCCTAATATCTCTTCAAATACAAACAAAAATGACACTGTACATTAGGTAATAGAAGCATAAGCGCATCACCAAATCTATCATTCATAGCTGCAACTTTTAAACATTTATATCAACACTTCCAGTATTGTACTTTTTATTTTGTTATATTGACACACACACATAATTATATAAAAAGTTACTCCTTCTGTTCAAAAATGTAAGGCATTTTTTGAGAAGATGGATGTTAAAAAATATAAGACATATTTAGTCTTTTGAGGTGCAATCATTGCCTTTTGTCCAAAAGTGCCCCTATTGATAATAACTTTATATTTATTGTAAGGTATTTAATAGGGATAAATATGAAAAGATAGGGTTAATTTAAAAGTAGGTAACTACTTTATTGAGGGATGAAATTCACTTAAAAATGCCTTATATTTTTGAACAGAAGGAATAGTTTATAACCTTTGAAACTTTGTTGATAATTCTATAGCCGCCATTGTAGTCTTACCCTTTTTTAAAAGGTTCTACTTACTGTAACCCCCATAAATTTCAATGACATAATATATATTAGATTAAATATTTTAAAGTATATCATATATTATAATTAAACTTTTGGTTAAATATTTATATTAAATATTTTAAAGTATATCACATTTTAACATATCCAAACTATTTACTCTTTTTGGTTGTTTTCACTTAGTTAGTTATAAGAATTTTAAGAGATAAAGGGCTCATTTGTTTTAGCTTATTTTATGAAAAAATTACTTGTTTTAAAAAATTATTTTGTGATTTTAAAAATGTTTGTTTAATTTTTTGAAAATAATTAGAATAGAAAAGTAAAATTTTTATTATTTTAAGTAACAACTTTGAGAAAGAATGTTTTAAAAATGTGGGACGCAAGAAGATATACTAAGATTTTAAAATAATTAAATAGTAATTTATTTTTATAAAACAGAAATAAAGAAAGATATTATAAAATTTAAAAATAACTAGCAAATAATTACTTTTTTATTATTGCAACCAAACATAAAAATAATGTATGCTTTTTATAAAATTTCTACAAAATAATTCTTTTATAAAATCTGTAAATTACCTAATAATGACTTATTTTTTTAATCTTTAATAAATGAACCGAAAAGATACAAAGAATGCATAATGTTAATACATAAACAGAAAGTAAAATCTGGATGGATCCAACGTCTAATTCAACGCTGGTTTATCCAATTTTGTTACTTATCAATCACAGTCAATTTTACTTTTATTGGCCATAAACATCATCAGAATTTTAATTAAGAGGAATAAGAGGGTGTGAAATCAAATTCTGATTGGGCTTTATAGAATGATTAGGTGGCAGCATGGCATATATTGGGCTTTATTTGAACAAAAATTAATCTTCGGCATAAAATACCAAAAGAACAGGTTCAAGCTATATCATATATGGATTCGCCAAACACATGATGACTGATCTTAAAATGTGTAATCAATTTATCTAACTGACAGCTTTTCTCAAGAATTTTATAGATGGCATGAAAAAAAAAAACAATATCTAAAGATAACCAAATTATTAAGCTATCTACATTATTTTGACTTGGGTCTGAGATGAGAATCAGAAGTGTGTGAGAAATTTTTTTTAAAACATATAGATATATACATAAACTGTGATATATAAATTTCAATTTTAATTTTTATGTTTTATTGTAGATGTTTTTAAAAGTAATTTACTAATTTTATGATTTGAGAGAAATGTTATTAGATAATTGATGGTGTATAATAATATAAAACTTATAAATACTTTATTGGTGGGCAATTTATAAGTACATCTGTAAGTAATTTTTGAACCTAGAGGCTTGTCCTACCCTTGGTGAGCCCCCAGACCTAACTTGCCTAAACTTTCTAAAAGCAAATATAAAACTTAAAATACAAATATATTAACATATTAACTTGGGAAAATGGCAATAAAATCCCATCTAAGTATCAAAATAACAATTAGGTCCCTCAAAATATCATAATTCTTTTGAAGTCTCTAGGTACCTTTCTAATATCAATGATTTCTGTTTAACTATGAAAAATTTATAAACTTGATATGACATAAAATTTGGCGGTGATGAAATCTATTTATCTATTTAAAAATAAAAGAAAAAATAATTTACTCTTTTTATGGATAAGTTTATTGCGTATATGCAAAACACATTTTTTCGTGTTATTGATTTTTTTTTTTTCAAGATTTACCTTTCCAACTTTGTGCCCTCCTATACGGCTATTCAAGTTATGAAAGTCAGCTCATTTTGTGCATTGATGGAAACAACTTGGCAAAAGTTTGCTTCTTTGTTCAAATTAATTTCCCCTGGGAAAATTAACGTTCCGTAATTCTGTAACTGTTATTTTTCAATGACATATTGATGATAATAATTTCTTTAATTTGGTTAAGATAAAATAATCCAATGTTCTTTGTCATCCTCTTTTCGCCAGCTAGACAATTTGTCACTTTAGTTGATTTATAGAATTTCTTTTGTAGTTACGTTAAAACCATGTAAAATTTTTAAACATTTACAGTGCAATATGTTGCTTATAATTTGCATGTGTTGTTAGACTTGGTAAAAAAGATTCACCATACATGGACACCCGTAGGATTAATATGCCATCTTTTTTGTCTCTTTATCACATATGTGGGAAATATTTTCAATAGATATACCGGTGACCAATTCGAATTCAATATCTGTAAGCGTTAATTTATTTTTAATTTTTTTGGTAGGTGATATACCAGAAGGCATTGGAAAATTGGATATGCTTCAAGAGCTATATCTTGATTATAATAATTTACAAGGTAATTTTTTTTCATCAAATTATGATATTCTGGCTACTATAATTTTTCCCTCTCTTTAGTTGTTTTCTCAGTGTTACTATGAACAACCATGCTTTTTCTTTTCCTACTTTATATTTTTTTAATAAATTTGTGTATGGGTGAAATTTTCTTTTCTAACAATTCTTTAAACATAAAAATAAGTCTTTAGTTCCGGTTGGCCAAAAATTTTTCGAATAAATTTAGAAATGCTGGTCAGGATATCATATGGAGTATTTTGTTTGTTCGGAAAAAAACAAAGCGCCACTTGGAGCGAGGAAAAAGGATTTGCAATAAAAGTTTGTTATCTAATCTAATTAAAAAAAAACAATGCATTTCTGGTCAAAATACAGTTAATTAATATACTAGAGTTGATTTACATTTATTGAGTGATAATATTAATATAAACATCAGTTTAAAAATATGACATCTCCATCTCACTTGTTCCTTTAAATTGTAAACTAGAAATAAAAAAATGGAAACACAGAACTGCAGTTCCCATAGTTTTACCAATTTTAATTTTAATATGACATTAAATGCTATCATTGTATATTGTCATTGTATATTCTCAATTTTGATCTTTATGCTTTGTCATCTTCTACTATAACGAGAAGGAGTCAATACCATGAAGGATTTTAAAATAATTATTTTCGGTTCTACCACTTTTATTATTTTTTGGTTCCTTTTATTCGAAATATATTAAAATAATTATTTTGATACATTTTATTTTAATATTTATAAAAGGGAGAATATTGTAATTGATGATAATAATTAATTATATCATGCAAATTAGTTAACGTCAATGATTTTTATCCTAACTTCTGTTGCTCAATTTATTCTAACTTCAATTTTGCAATTTCTAATCCGAACACACCTTAGAATCAATCTTATCAAACATGTAATTGGCCATAACAATCCCCACATAAATCACTTCCAAGCTCCGTGATCATTAGTTATCCAGATTGCCTCCAAGAGAATAAATGTCTTCCTCAAGTGTTTCTAGGTCTTTCTATACAATTTTGGATCCCAATTGAAACTTGGGGCTTCTATGCATTTTGGGCCTTTGTTTGCAAATTGTTGTTCCCTTGGCATTCTTATCAGCACGTGGCAAAAGAGTGAAGAAAATACCATATGCCACTTTTTTTCGCGCATGGTCGTGGTTATGTTGAGCCTATTTGTGCGCGGCAGAATCATCATGAGCCAAAATCACCTTTTCATCTGCTAGCGTCCTTCTACTTCATCTGCAAGCAATTGACTTCCCTCATGGTTCATCCGTTGCCAGACGTAACCAATGGGAGAACCAAATATGAAACTTTGTTCATTCGCAACTTGCGGTGACTTTCAAAGGTTCACCTGTGCATGAATGAGTGATCTTGAGCCTAATCTTGGATCTTGATCTGAATTCTCTTTTTTAATTCGTTTTTAGTATTAGAATAAAAAAGAAGTCCCCCATCTAAAAATTAGAAGATGGATCATGGATATATAAGCTTAAGAAGTATCTAACCAAATAGCTTAAACTATTTTGGTAGAGTATACAATTCTTAAGTATACTTAATATAAGAAATCTAAAATTTAGGTCCTTTTTCTTCATTTCATGCATTTTGGCATACTATAACTAAGTGAGGCTACATCAACTATTTTATTCTGATTTATTGCAATTACTTAGCATATTTAAATCTAAAAGTCCCCAAAAATCACGTAGATGTGGGTTCATCAATCACTTTTCTGGTGTTTCATCAGTTCTATCAATATGGCCGTGTGTAACACTAGGCCACCAAGGCCGTCGTCGTAGGTGTGAAAAAATGTTCACTTATATCCTACATAATATGTCATTATTTTTCCTGTTAAGCGTTAATGTTAACTATATATTTTCATTAAGGATTTATTACTTACTTATATCTTATATAACAAGCAATTAATTTTTTAAGCATTAATGTTGATTATATCTCTTCATTAAAAATTTATGGTCCCATATTTCGGTGCGCGTATGCCCTGCCACAACCACTTTGTCATTTCATCTCTTCTTCTCTCTCAATCAAATCGTTTCCTTGACTGCCATCATTTTCTTATTAATAAAATATAGCTCTTGTTTAGCCATTTCCATGGGCACTGTAGCCTGATTAGTAACTTGATTTGCCATTTGTCATTGTGAAGTTGACGAATCCTTTTATTTGTTTATGGGACTTTTGCATTTCTGTTAAGAGAATAAAGAAAACCAATCATATAGGGCCATATATATATATATATATATATCAGGTGTGTTTGTTCCTCTTTTACCCTTTATTTTACTTTTTACTTGAAATTGTGATTGTTAGGAAAGTGTGACTAAGACACTAGTACATACAAGAGGGACAAGGCGAGTCAGCGAGATGGCATTCTGTTGTGGCTTTAATTTTTTATAGGATTTAAAGTGGTAAAATAATAATGCATTAGGCTTCTAAAATAATTTTTTGTTAGGCCACAAAACCCCTTCACACGTCCTTGTATCTAAGTATTCAGTTTTGAAAATTGTAGAGGACTAAACCAAGAGCTAGTTCCTAATACAACCGGTGGAATTGGATGACCCAATCTATTTAGAAAACCATGACTTTTCTTGTGTTTATATTAAATTTAGGAATTAAATCACGTAATTAAATAATATATTTTGGTGTTTTTATATTAGGAAATTTTGAACCTCGACAAGTATTCCACCCTACCTCCATAAAATAATACTTAACCCTTTGTATAGATTTTACGGTCATCAACAATATCTAAGTAATTAAAAACAAATTAATCACCAAATTAATTCAATCTTCCAACACCCCCTCCAGTTTGACTCTCTTGATGCTCAACTTGCTAACGGAAACTATGAGGGAGGTGAAGTGAATTAAGCCGATGACTAATGACAAGTAATGATATTCATCCTCCGAATTACTATATACTTATTTTGAATTAACATGGTGTCTACTTCCAAACTCGAACGAGTAACTTGCGTCTACTATGTTAAGACAAGTGATCGATGAGAATAAACTTGATATTCAACTTCATGAAAAACAGGTTCCAGCTTTTATGACAGGTGGATTTTAGCCAGTGACCCTCAAGTGCAACACCAATTCTCCTTTCTCGGTGCTCTTGACATATAATTGTACAGAAGCTTCCCGAGATGAATGATTGGAACAATGCTGATAACTCTACTAGCTAGTTATTATGTTGTGAATTCATGATTTTAGTTTGCCTTAAGAGCATTATTATTTTTCCATTTTCTTTTAAGTAAAAATCCAAGAGTTATTATATCTTGATCGCAATAACTTTAAAACAATCCATTAATAATTAAATTATTTTTGTTACTTATTTTTCTTTTTTATCATAATCATTTATATGTGAGCACTCATAATAATGTGGTTTTCTCATTACCATATTGCAGGAGAAATTCCCAAACCAATTGGCACACTCATAAACCTAAAATTCTAAGCTAGGTCTTAACAAATTATCTGGCCAAATACCAAAAAGTTAATACATAAACAGAAAGTAAAATCTGGATGGATCCAACGTCTAATTCAACGCTGGTTTATCCAATTTTGTTACTTATCAATCACAGTCAATTTTACTTTTATTGGCCATAAACATCATCAGAATTTTAATTAAGAGGAATAAGAGGGTGTGAAATCAAATTCTGATTGGGCTTTATAGAATGATTAGGTGGCAGCATGGCATATATTGGGCTTTATTTGAACAAAAATTAATTTCGGCATAAAATACCAAAAGAACAGGTTCAAGCTATATCATATATGGATTCGCCAAACACATGATGACTGATCTTAAAATGTGTAATCAATTTATCTAACTGACAGCTTTTCTCAAGAATTTTATAGATGGCATGAAAAAAAAAAAACAATATCTAAAGATAACCAAATTATTAAGCTATCTACATTATTTTGACTTGGGTCTGAGATGAGAATCAGAAGTGTGTGAGAAATTTTTTTAAAACATATAGATATATACATAAACTGTGATATATAAATTTCAATTTTAATTTTTATGTTTTATTGTAGATGTTTTTAAAAGTAATTTACTAATTTTATGATTTGAGAGAAATGTTATTAGATAATTGATGGTGTATAATAATATAAAACTTATAAATACTTTATTGGTGGGCAATTTATAAGTACATCTGTAAGTAATTTTGAACCTAGAGGCTTGTCCTACCCTTGGTGAGCCCCCAGACCTAACTTGCCTAAACTTTCTAAAAGCAAATATAAAACTTAAAATACAAATATATTAACATATTAACTTGGGAAAATGGCAATAAAATCCCATCTAAGTATCAAAATAACAATTAGGTCCCTCAAAATATCATAATTCTTTGAAGTCTCTAGGTACCTTTCTAATATCAATGATTTCTGTTTAACTATGAAAAATTTATAAACTTGATATGACATAAAATTTGGCGGTGATGAAATCTATTTATCTATTTAAAAATAAAAGAAAAAATAATTTACTCTTTTTATGGATAAGTTTATTGCGTATATGCAAAAAACACATTTTTTCGTGTTATTGATTTTTTTTTTTTTCAAGATTTACCTTTCCAACTTTGTGCCCTCCTATACGGCTATTCAAGTTATGAAAGTCAGCTCATTTTGTGCATTGATGGAAACAACTTGGCAAAAAGTTTGCTTCTTTGTTCAAATTAATTTCCCCTGGGAAAATTAACGTTCCGTATTCTGTAACTGTTATTTTTCAATGACATATTGATGATAATAATTTCTTTAATTTGGTTAAGATAAAATAATCCAATGTTCTTTGTCATCCTCTTTTCGCCAGCTAGACAATTGTCACTTTAGTTGATTTATAGAATTTCTTTGTAGTTACGTTAAAACCATGTAAAATTTTTAAACATTTACAGTGCAATATGTTGCTTATAATTTGCATGTGTTGTTAGACTTGGTAAAAAAGATTCACCATACATGGACACCCGTAGATTAATATGCCATCTTTTTTTGTCTCTTTATCACATATGTGGGAAATATTTTCAATAGATATACCGGTGACCCAATTCGAATTCAATATCTGTAAGCGTTAATTTATTTTTAATTTTTTTGGTAGGTGATATACCAGAAGGCATTGGAAAATTGGATATGCTTCAAGAGCTATATCTTGATTATAATAATTTACAAGGTAATTTTTTTTCATCAAATTATGATATTCTGGCTACTATAATTTTTTCCTCTCTTAGTTGTTTTCTCAGTGTTACTATGAACAACCATGCTTTTTCTTTTCCTACTTATATTTTTTTAATAAAATTTGTGTATGGGTGAAATTTTCTTTTCTAACAATCTTTAAACATAAAAATAAGTCTTTAGTTCCGGTTGGCCAAAAATTTTCGAATAAATTTAGAAATGCTGGTCAGGATATCATATGGAGTATTTTGTTTGTTCGGAAAAAAACAAAGCGCCACTTGGAGCGAGGAAAAAGGATTTGCAATAAAAGTTTGTTATCTAATCTAATTAAAAAAAAACAATGCATTTCTGGTCAAAAACAGTTAATTAATATACTAGAGTTGATTTACATTTATTGAGTGATAATATTAATATAAACATCAGTTTAAAAAATATGACATCTCCATCTCACTTGTTCCTTTAAATTGTAAACTAGAAATAAAAAAATGGAAACACAGAAACTGCAGTTCCCATAGTTTTACCAATTTTAATTTTAATATGACATTAAATGCTATCATTGTATATTGTCATTGTATATTCTCAATTTTGATCTTTATGCTTTGTCATCTTCTACTATAACGAGAAGGAGTCAATACCATGAAAGGATTTTAAAATAATTATTTTCGGTTTCTACCACTTTTATTATTTTTTGGTTCCTTTTATTCGAAATATATTAAAATAATTATTTTGATACATTTTATTTAATATTTATAAAAGGGAGAATATTGTAATTGATGATAATAATTAATTATATCATGCAAATTAGTTAACGTCAATGATTTTTATCCTAACTTCTGTTGCTCAATTTATTCTAACTTCAATTTTGCAATTTCTAATCCGAACACACCTTAGAATCAATCTTATCAAACATGTAATTGGCCATAACAATCCCCACATAAATCACTTCCAAGCTCCGTGATCATTAGTTATCCAGATTGCCTCCAAGAGAATAAATGTCTTCCTCAAGTGTTTCTAGGTCTTTCTTATACAATTTTGGATCCCAATTGAAACTTGGGGCTTCTATGCATTTGGGCCTTTGTTTGCAAATTGTTTTCCCTTGGCATTCTTATCAGCACGTGGCAAAAGAGTGAAGAAAATACCATATGCCACTTTTTTTCGCGCATGGGTCGTGGTTATGTTGAGCCTATTGTGCGCGGCAGAATCATCATGAGCCAAAATCACCTTTTCATCTGCTAGCGTCCTTCTACTTCATCTGCAAGCAATTGACTTCCCTCATGGTTCATCCGTTGCCAGACGTAACCAATGGGAGAACCAAATATGAAACTTTGTTCATTCGCAACTTGCGGTGACTTTCAAAGGTTCACCTGTGCATGAATGAGTGATCTGAGCCTAATCTTGGATCTTGATCTGAATTCTCTTTTTTAATTCGTTTTAGTATTAGAATAAAAAAAGAAGTCCCCCATCTAAAAATTAGAAGATGGATCATGGATATATAAGCTTAAGAAGTATCTAACCAAATAGCTTAAAACTATTTTGGTAGAGTATACAATTCTTAAGTATACTTAATATAAGAAATCTAAAATTTAGGTCCTTTTTCTTCATTTCATGCATTTTGGCATACTATAACTAAGTGAGGCTACATCAACTATTTTATTCTGATTTATTGCAATTACTTAGCATATTTAAATCTAAAAGTCCCCAAAAATCACGTAGATGTGGGTTCATCAATCACTTTTCTGGTGTTTCATCAGTTCTATCAATATGGCCGTGTGTAACACTAGGCCACCAAGGCCGTCGTCGTAGGTGTGAAAAAAATGTTCACTTATATCCTACATAATATGTCATTATTTTTCCTGTTAAGCGTTAATGTTCAACTATATATTTTCATTAAGGATTTATTACTTACTTATATCTTATATAACAAGCAATTAATTTTTTAAGCATTAATGTTGATTATATCTCTTCATTAAAAATTTATGGTCCCATATTTCGGTGCGCGTATGCCCTGCCACAACCACTTTGTCATTTCATCTCTTCTTCTCTCTCAATCAAATCGTTTCCTTGACTGCCATCATTTTCTTATTAATAAAATATAGCTCTTGTTTAGCCATTTCCATGGGCACTGTAGCCTGATTAGTAACTTGATTTGCCATTTGTCATTGTGAAGTTGACGAATCCTTTTATTTGTTTATGGGACTTTTGCATTTCTGTTAAGAGAATAAAGAAAACCAATCATATAGGGCCATATATTATATATATTATATATCAGGTGTGTTTGTTCCTCTTTTACCCTTTATTTTACTTTTTACTTGAAATTGTGATTGTTAGGAAAGTGTGACTAAGACACTAGTACATACAAGAGGGACAAGGCGAGTCAGCGAGATGGCATTCTGTTGTGGCTTTAATTTTTATAGGATTTAAAGTGGTAAAATAATAATGCATTAGGCTTCTAAAATAATTTTTTGTTAGGCCACAAAACCCCTTCACACGTCCTTGTATCTAAGTATTCAGTTTTGAAAATTGTAGAGGACTAAACCAAGAGCTAGTTCCTAATACAACCGGTGGAATTGGATGACCCAATCTATTTAGAAAACCATGACTTTTCTTGTGTTTATATTAAATTTAGGAATTAAATCACGTAATTAAATAATATATTTTGGTGTTTTTATATTAGGAAATTTTGAACCTCGACAAGTATTCCACCCTACCTCCATAAAATAATACTTAACCCTTTGTATAGATTTTACGGTCATCAACAATATCTAAGTATTTAAAAACAAATTAATCACCAAATTAATTCAATCTTCCAACACCCCCTCCAGTTTGACTCTCTTGATGCTCAACTTGCTAACGGAAACTATGAGGGAGGTGAAGTGAATTAAGCCGATGACTAATGACAAGTAATGATATTCATCCTCCGAATTACTATATACTTATTTTGAATTAACATGGTGTCTACTTCCAAACTCGAACGAGTAACCTTGCGTCTACTATGTTAAGACAAGTGATCGATGAGAATAAACTTGATATTCAACTTCATGAAAAACAGGTTCCAGCTTTTATGACAGGTGGATTTTAGCCAGTGACCCTCAAGTGCAACACCAATTCTCCTTTCTCGGTGCTCTTGACATATAATTGTACAGAAGCTTCCCGAGATGAATGATTGGAACAATGCTGATAACTCTACTAGCTAGTTATTATGTTGTGAATTCATGATTTTAGTTTGCCTTAAGAGCATTATTATTTTTCCATTTTCTTTTAAGTAAAAATCCAAGAGTTATTATATCTTGATCGCAATAACTTTAAAACAATCCATTAATAATTAAATTATTTTTGTTACTTATTTTTCTTTTTTATCATAATCATTTTATATGTGAGCACTCATAATAATGTGGTTTTCTCATTACCATATTGCAGGAGAAATTCCCAAACCAATTGGCACACTCATAAACCTAAAAATTCTAAGCTAGGTTTAACAAATTATCTGGCCAAATACCAAAAAGTATTGGAAACTTGACTATGCTTTGGGAATTATATCTCGATGACAATAACTTAGAAGGTATACTTTCAACTAATCATAATACATAATTTTCCATTAATATTTTGTGTTTATTATGGGTCATGTTGTGCCTCATTTGCATCTGCATGATATATTGTTTATAAAATATTACCATGTTTACCTTCTTTTTTTTTTTTTTTTTCCGGGGCTTAAAAACAAAGGTGAGCGTACAATATTGTTATTGATTATGTGAAGATTTGCATTTCTAACTCCATCTCTTCCTATATGGCACGTGTAATCGAATTATCATAGTTAGCACGTTTTATGCATTGCATGAAAACAAACTTTCCAAAAGTATACTTTCTTATTCAAATTAGCTTCCCCTGAGAAAATTAATGTTTGATAATTCTTTGACTACTGTCATTTTTCAATGATATATTGGTGACAATATATGTTTGAATTTGAGTAAGACAAAATAATCGAATGTTCTTTGCAATTCTGTTTTAGTTAGATAGAAAATGTTTTCACGTCACATGTTTCATAGGATTCCCTCTATAGTTACATTAAAACTACGTAAAACTATTCAAACAGTTGCTATCTTGATATTTTACTCAATTTGTTTGTCATTAGGGTTTTGATTATTAATTGTGTTCTTATTTGGGACTTGATTGGAACTCTCCAAATATCTTACTGTATTAATACCTCCTCCCATTTGATATTTTTAACCAAGTTACAGTCTCAATAAGCCAGTTACTTATCTTTAAGCTAATGTTATCTTTTCATATTTGTTCTTATTTAGTTAGGGAATCTCACTTAAATGTTTCAGTTGAGTGGTTTATTAAGGGTATTTTTGAAAAAACTCATTAATTACACATTGAAAAACTAAAAATACCTTAGCAAAAAATGCCTTATATTTTTTAATGGTGCGAATATATGACATTTTTAGCAATTGTCATATACGTGGCACCTATCTATGCTGCTTGTATAAGCCGGCATTTTAGAGACTAAACATGTACTTGGCACTTGTATGCTGCTAATACTTAGGATCCAAGTATGCATAATATGTGGGTGACATTTTTCTTTTACGTTTAAATGATTATCTAAAGCTAACCCATTAATTATTGTTGTTTTAAGTCATGATGACGTAAGGACGCGTCTTATGTTAACCACTTTTCACGCGTATTCTTTATTTCCTTTAATACTTAACTTTTGTCTTCACCTTTTCATTGGCTACTCTTATTTTTTTCACTTTCACACTTAATTATTTTCTTCACCTTTCAAGGAAAATACCTTCAACTATTTTTGGCTTATCTTCGCTTGAGCATTTTTCATTATCATGCAACTCTTTTATAGGTATATCTTTGATTGTATCGGATAAATTCATACTTTATCCTAATCATTGCAAACAATTTTATAGGTGTTAGTGTGCCTTCAGATAAGTTATTCACAATATATTATTCAACATTGATTTTGTTGGAAAATAATTGTGTCCCTTGTAA